AATACATGATCCCTCATCAGACCTCACAAATTCCCCTATATTTCCAAAACCCAAAAACACAAGAATAAAGAAACAAAAGACAAATAGTCAGCCGTCATATATCTCTCAAGAGGCATATGAAGACGTTAAAACATTCATAGACGCCCAAACCCCTGCTTTTACCTTGAATAGTGACCAATTCAAAAGCCTCCTAGAAAACACTCACGGAACCCATGATATAATGAGCATAATCCAAGACTACACAGATGACACTAAAGGGCTCATTGAAATGATACTACTGGTATACCCTCACATAGCAGATAGAGCAGTGAAAAACAGATGTACTAGACTACGGAAAAAACTAGAACGATATACTGACAATAACATTAACGAATGTCTCAGCGACACCTCTTCAATGGACTCCACAACATATTAAATTATATACTATGTTCATTGGTCTTAGGTCGCTTTTACAATGGAATCTAAATGGATACCACAGCCATTTAAACATGTTACATAAACTCATCTCAGATCAAAACCCTGACATAATTTGTTTACAAGAAACTCGATTCCACGAAACAAAAACACACACGCCAAAACATTACAGGGGATTCTTTAAGAACCGCAACGATAGCTCTAATTATATAGCTAGTGGAGGTGTTGCCATTTATGTCAAAAGTAGCATAGTAGCCAAGCCCATAAACCTTAACACTCAGCTAGAGGCAGTCGCAGTCACAATAGAAGGCTCTCAGAATATTAGCATTTGCAATATATACATACCACCCAATTATCACTTAGATACAAATGAACTGGAGGCACTTCTCCGACAAGTACCATCACCTCGAATTATCCAAGGTGACTTTAACGCCCATCATCACACTTGGGGATCAAGAAGAAACAATACTCGAGGAAAAATAATAAAAGATATTTTGGATACAACAGATCTTAATTTGCTAAACGATGGTACTGAAACAAGACTTGATCTAGGAACTGGAACAACATCAGCAATAGATTTGAGCTTAAGCTCGACAAATCTTGTAACCCGTCTGAACTGGAGCGTATTAGATGACCTGTATGGAAGCGACCATTTTCCTATAGTCATATCTAACCCAGGAGAATTGAACAGTGATACACTACCTGAAAAGTGGAACCTGAAAAAAGCAGACTGGATACACTTCTCGAAATATATAGAACACAATTTACACAAAACTCAAATAAAAGAGAACATTGATGAAACAATACACGAGTTCAATAATATTATTATAAATGCAGCACACACCAGCATTGGTAAAACTAAACCAGTTATGAATAAAATTCCTGTTCCATGGTGGAACGAAGAATGTAATACAGCAATCAAGGCAACTAAGCAAGCAGTAAACAAGTTTAAAAGAAACAGAACTATCGAAAATTTGATAGAACTTAAAGAAAAACGAGCACAAGCTAAGCTAACAACAAAAAAGAATCAAAAAGACTCCTGGAGGAATTTTGTTGGCAGTATAAATAGCTCAACACCTCTAGCGACAGTTTGGAAAAAAATAAAAAGTGTAGCTGGAGCCCCATCATACTCTCCAATCAGATGTTTAAAAGAAAACAATATAACACATACAGATAGCAGAAGAATAGTTGAAGCACTCAGTAAAACTTACCATAAAAATTCTAGCAACCAGAATTACAATCAAGAATTTCTAATACATAAGACCAACGTAGAAGCAACACAAATATTAATCCAGAACAACCAAGACCCAATGAACAAATTAATTTCTGAGCACGAAATGGAGGAAGCACTTAACGACTTAAAAGAAACTTCTGCAGGACCTGATGATATACCCTCCATATTTCTGAAAAAACTCCCAGCAACAGCAAAACAACACCTACTAAATATATATAATAAAATATGGACTGAACACCTATTCCCAAATATATGGCGTCAAGCATTCACTATACCTATACTTAAGCCTAATAAATCACCTCTCGTACCAGAATCATATCGACCGATATCCTTAACATGTGCTATGTGTAAATTACTAGAAAAAATAATAAACAAAAGGCTGCTGTGGAGTTTAGAGAAAGGAAATCGTCTAATAAACGAGCAGTCCGGATTCAGACAAAATAGATCCACTATAGATAATATCATCGACCTTGATACACATATACACGAAGCTTTTAGCAACAAGCAACATTGCCTCGCAGTATATTTCGACATGAAAAAAGCATTTGATACTACATGGAGGAGAGATATAATCTCAAAACTACAATCATGGGGATACGATGGGAACATGATTGCCTTCATTTCCAATTTTCTGAAAGATCGAAGTTTTCAAGTCCGGTCGAATGGAGTTTTGTCTAAGCCCAGATCACAGGATAACGGTATTCCTCAAGGATCGATCATCAGTCCAACGTTATTTCTAATTGCTGTCAACGATATATCGAATCACATAGAAAAACCAATTCACGTACGAATATATGCGGACGACATGTTAATATTTGTAAGAGGTAGAAACCTAACAACCAATATTCACCTGATGCAAAAAACAATACAAAATCTAGAACAGTGGTCAGAACGCTCCGGATTAACATTTTCACCAGAAAAGACAAAGTACATCATATTCTCGAAAAAAACAATTGAAGGTGGAACACCATTAAAACTAAATAATATAATACTAGAACAAACATGCGACATAAAATTTCTAGGACTCTTATTTGACCAGCGGCTGACATGGAAGAAGCACATTGCATACTTAGTCAAATCGTGCGAGAAAAGGATGACCGTTCTAAAATACTTATCAAACAGACACTGGGGAGCTGAGGGTGAAACACTCTTGAGCATATACCGATCAGTAATACGATCAAAACTAGATTATGGTAGCATAGTTTACGCTTCAGCTAGTCCTACTGCCCTCAAATCGCTGGATAGTATACACCACCGAGCAATTCGCTTGATACTGGGAGCATTCAGGACAACACCTATCCAAAGTTTATATTGCGAATCTGGGGAACTATCATTGAATGACAGAAGAAAGATATTGAGTTTAGCATACGCCACCAAACTTTCATCTAACAAAAATATACCGGCCCACAGGAACATGATGCAGGCTAATACACATATAAGTACAAGCAACACCAATACAGTACACGGAAAGTCATTCTTCACGAGAACCATTAGATATTTAAGGGATATTAGAATCTCCCAGCTTGCTGGTATAGCACCGGAAACTAACACAAACATTCCACCGTGGATTATAGATAAGCCAAATATCAATAAAGAACTGCTGAAAATAAATAAGACAGAAACTCCTGGACCAGTAATCATTCAACATTTCCAGGAAATACTTCATAGGTATGAAACATATGAAGAAATATATACCGATGCATCTAAAATTGACAACAAAGTAGGTTCAGCTGTTGTGACAACTAGCAACACCCTAACAATGAAACTACCAGACGCAGCTACAATTCTAACAGGAGAATTGCACGGACTACTAGAAGCAATAAAACTTATAAGAGATAAGCACATTCAAAAATCGTTGATTATAACGGATTCGCTCAACTCCCTTTTGCTTATCGAAAAGATATACACAAACAATCATCTGACACATCAAATTAAAGAAATTCTATATGCATTGCAGTTGGAGAATAGCAATATAGTCTTCATATGGGCGCCTTCCCACGTAGGAATCAAAGGCAACGAAAAAGCCGACAAATACGCAAAAATTGCAGGAAACCTTAATGATCCATCACACGTAACCATTCCAGCTTCAGACATCAAGGTCTTTCTGAGAAATAAATTCATTGAAAACTGGAATATCAACTGGCAAAACCATCCATCGAAGCTACTCGAACTGAAACCTAAATTAGGACCATGGACTACAGTGACAACAAACAGAAGACATCAAACCCTGATCACCCGACTCCGTCTAGGACATACCAGAGCTACACATGAATACCTCATCACCCAAGGAGCAGAACCTATGTGTGAAATATGTGAAGTGACACTGAGTGTTAAACATATACTGGTGCAGTGCCCTTTACTAGACTTTTATAGAGTTGACTGTAACATTTTATCCTTAACTCTAGAAAACATCTTAGGACCAAATTGTAACGTATACAACTTACTTCGCTTCTTGAAACAAAATAACTTATTGTACAAACTGTGACACTATAACCATCGCCGCTAATGGCCAGTAGGTCGATGCGGTTAAATAAATAAAAAAAAAAAAAATCAGAGATAACTGCTGTCTATAGGGTTGGTCGCCGTAGCGATACAAAACCTAGGCATGTTTTGGTATCGTTTACTGACAATTCGATTAAGATGGCAACGTATAATAAGAAAAAGTTTCTTAAAGGCACTAAGATAGTTATTAAGGAAGATCTAACTCCGCATCGGTTGAAAGTAGTTAAAGCAGCTTCTGATAAGTTTGGTTTCAAGAACGTGTGGACGGTTAATGGCAACATTTTTGTAAAAACTGACAAGGGAGTCGAGAAGTTTAGTGTGAATGAATAGCTATGTTGTATTGGGGTATTTTTTTTTCAACGTTTGGTATTCTTTGAACTTGTGTGTATTGTTAAGATTCATTATATATTTTGTTTTTTGCTATTTTTTTTAGCTCTGAATATAGATATACAGTTGATTGTATTTAGCGATGAATTTTTTGATTGGACACCTCAATGTCTGTTCACTTGTTCCTAAATTTAATAGTTTGCGGCAACATATACTTTCTAAGAAATATGCTATGTTTGCATTATCAGAAACGTGGTTGAATGACAGTATAAGCGATGATACAGTATATATTCAAGGTTATGATCTTGTTAGGTTTGACAGAAGTACCAGGGGTGGAGGAGTAGGTTTGTATATAGATAGTAAGTTGAAATATTCACAAATTGAGGTTTCACATAATATTGAACAACTTTGGGTCTCAGTTTCACTTAAACGTAAATCATACGCAGTTGGAGTAGTATATCGACCACCACATTTCAATTATAAATATTTTGTCGATGAACTTGAAGAATCTTTATGTGTGGCTATGCTCCGTGAGGACAAAGTGATATGCCTAGGAGACGTAAATATAAATTTCCTCGACACTGAGGCTGCACCTGCAAATTATATGCTTGAAATGTTAGATTCTACAGGTATAGAGCAAATAGTAGAAGAAGCTATTACTAATACATCGGCGACATTAATAGATGTTATTCTTTGCAACGATCCTTTAATGATCGAATCTAAGTACGTTGGCGGATTAGATTTAACAGATCATGAACTGATTTCGTGTAAGGTACTACAAGATAGACAAAAAATTGAACCACTCTTTTACACTTATCGGAGCTTTAGGAGTCTTGAAATGGATAAATTGCATGCTGATTTGCAAAATCTTCCCTTAATTGACATATGTTACTTGTCAAATATTGACGAAAAGGTGAACCTGTTCAATCATTTAATTCTAACTTTGTTTGACAAGCACATTCCTTTGAAAACGTCCAAAATCACTAAGCCTAAAGCTCCCTGGCTGAAGGATGATATAAGGAATTTGATGTGTAGCAGGGATGCAGCGAGGTCTAAGTATAGAAAAAATCCGAACGATTCAAATTGGAATGCATATAAAAAACTAAAAAACAAAACCAATCATGCTATTCTACATGAAAAAAGAAAGTATTTTGATAAAATTGCTCAGAGTAAGGATAAGAAATCTTTGTGGCGAGAACTTAATTCGCTTAGTATTAAGTCACAGAAGTCAAATATTCCTATTGATTTGCAAGATGTGGAACATATAAATAACTTTTTTATTGACAGCATACCTCGTTTGGCGTCTGGTAATCATATTGCTATATATTATGATCAAAACAAAATATGTAATTCAGAGTTCAATTTCAAATTGGTATCTGAGCAAGATGTATTTGACGCATTAAGTAGGATAAAAACACCAGACCAGGAAATGATGGCATTAGCATACATCTCGTCAAATTGTGTGTCCCGTATATTTTACCATATTTGGTACATCTTATTAATACAATTTTTCTGGAGGGAAAATATCCAAAGTGCTGGAAAGTGGCCTTAATAGTGCCAATTCCAAAATGTAAGGAAGCTGAACAGCTATCAGATCTTCGTCCAATAAATATTCTAGCTGGTCTCTCGAAATTGGTTGAAAAAATTATTGAAATACAATTAAGAACACATATTGAAAGTCAAAGTATCCTTCCTAAAACACAGTCAGGTTTTCGTCCAGGATACTGTTGCACCACTGCACTTGCTAAAATAACTGATTATATCATTCAGTCGAATCATCTGGGTGAGTCTACCGCTTTAATACTATTAGATTTCAGCAAGGCATTTGACACAATTAACCATGATGTTTTGCTGTCTATCTTAAAGTCATGTGGATTGTCTACTGACAGCGTAAAACTTTTTAATTCATACTTAAGTGGCAGATCACAGTGTGTACAACTGAAGAATGAAATATCTAGTTCAAAGCCCACTACCACAGGTGTACCGCAAGGATCTATACTTGGACCATTGCTCTTCACTATATATACCAGTCAGATCCTTAAATGTTTGGAATTCTGTAAGTCATACATTTATGCGGATGATACCCAGCTGTACTATTCTTTTCCTAGTTCAGATTCTCCAGCTGCCGAGTTGAAAATAAACAGTGACTTGACTAACCTCTCTAAAAGATTGCAAGAGCATTCATTAATATTAAATCCAAATAAATCAGCTGCTGTGATCTTTGGTAAAGACCGTTCTTATGTGATTGAGAATTTAAATATAACCATAAATAATATTAGATTAAATCACTGTGATAAAGTTAAAAACTTAGGCTTAACAATGGATTATAATCTGAGGTTTCGTGAGCACATATCAAACTGTATCAAAAAATCTTATCTGGCTCTAAAATTATTATATCCTCACCGAAATTTTCTCAATTTAGACATCAAAAGAATTCTTTGCGAAACCTTGGTTTTATCACAGTTTTCGTACTGTGTTCCAATTTATTCTGCAAGTTTAGATTGTGATACATTCATGCGAATACAGAGAACACAGAACTCATGCATACGTTTTATATATGGCATAAGAAAATTTGAAAGAGTTAGTCATAAGCTGAAAGAACTCCGGTGGCTAAATATGAAGGCTCGTTTTGAGATATTCACAATATGCTTTTATCATAAAATTTTAACTCTCAGGCAGCCGCATTACCTCTACGAGAAAATAACATTCAGAAAAGACATCCATTCCGTAAATATTCGTTCGAAACAAAACATTACCGCTCCATTCCACAGAACTAAATTTTATGAAAGATCATTTACGTATAATATATATAAGCTATACAATCCTATCCCCCAGTACCTCAAATCATATGAAATTCACAAGTTCAAAGCGGTTTTGCGTGATTCTTACCTTGAATGTATAAAGTAGAATTATTCTTACTGCGGAATTTCAATTTTATTTTGTTTGCATTCCATTATTTTATTCATATTTTTTTCCATATGATGCATAAATGTACGTATATGTATTTGTATATCATTCTAGACTTTTACATTTACCACCACGTTTTCTCTTTGCTCTTTTTTTCAAACTTAATTGTCGCTCATATTGGCGTTTGTTTATGCGGTATGTATGGGTATATATGTATATATGTATATATATATATGTATATATGTATATATATTATTCTAGACTTTCTTTTTTTTTTAAATCTATTACCACATGTCTCACTTTTCTATCTTATTTTTTTTTAAAAAACTTACATGCTGTTCATATTGATGTTTTTATATGGTTGATGGATGTATTTACTGGCATAATGTTTCTTACAATTCCAAGAGATGAGTGGAAGAGCACTAGATAGTGAACTCCCCCTTGTGGTTTTCAGACAGTCGACATTTGTTTTATTTATTTTTTTTTATATTTTCCTTTTTTTTTTGGTTAATACTCACGTTTCTCTTTCTGATTTTTTTTTTGAAAACTGTTTGGAAATAAAGGCATTTATTATTATTATTATTATTGCTGCTCGATCTGGTCTTCAAGTTATACGAAGTGTTAAGAACATCACAATGCAATTCTTTAAATCAAGACTATTTTGTATTTGTAACAACAGTTTTACCTGTTGATTAAACAAAGAAATAAATATTCTGATGCCGAAAAACTTGCCACTGGACGCACTGAAAGATAAAGACGTTCATGGTTCAAAGATGAACATTTTGTTACAAGATGTAAGAATCTAATTATAGCTCATACCAATATATCTTTGAAGTGGTTTCTTCTGAAACCTAAGAAGTATTTTCACCAATTGGGACAAATTGGATCTGCTCGTAATTTCATGACAAGACCAAATACGCGGCAAATGGAACACGTCATTTAGTAGAGTCATTTCTTATAATGAGTCTCTATCAATGTTACAAAATGAACGCGATCCTCACAGTAAGATAGAACTCCCCCTAATATCATCCATTTGTTAGAGCGCCCATTTTCAGCTATTACTTCGAACTGAAGTTTCTTGGAACTAGGACATGGAAAAATAATCTCATTACTGTAATCCTCTTCTACGGGAATAATACATACTGAGCTATTATTGGATATATTATTAAATAAAATAACCATATGTGGCTAGTAAATTCAAGAACAAAACACAAAATTCTGCCAAATATTATCAAGTACGTGGAATATTGCAATCTTTAAATTTCAGGTATATTACTGTGATGCTCTTCTCCAGGAGAATACATATCGAGTTACTTATCACTATATTATCAAAAAATAGACACAAATATGGGTAGTAAATTCAATAGTTAAACACAAGCTACTGCTGAATATTATCAAGAACCTCAAATATTGCAATTTTCTATCAGTTAAGATTGCTGCCCAATATGCCGTTTAAAAAATGTTGGCCTTTCCCGATCTGTTGTCGTCTGTCTCTTATTGCTAAAATACTTTTTTTATTCTAAATTTGAATATTTCACAGTGACAACGCGAGAGTGAGAAACAGCAGATTATTGACGTAGCACGCACGCGGAAGACACGGTCCTGTCCTCGTCTTCTGTAGCTATCTCCATGCGGAGCGACTCTTTAAGTCATAGCATTTATTTATACAGGGTGTTTCAGTTTGTTGTTGCATAACTTTAAGATTCGATAGAACTTTTAAAATTAATGCATAAAGTCTATATAAACATGGGTCGAAAAATGCGTAGCTTCCGAAATACAGGGGTTTAAATTTACTTTCTAAAATAGTTTTTTTTAAATATTTCGAACAATATTTGATGTATAACAGTGAAAATTGGTATACAACGGTTTTTTGGTACGACAAAACGAACCATGGGCATAGTTTTACTGTAGCCGCTAGAGAAAATTTATTCTTAGCGCAATTTTTTGCTTTTTAAATAAAAAAACTGATTCTTCGCACTTTTCAACATAAAAAAGCTCTCTTGTGAATTTTCGTTATAGTTAGCCGTTTTTGAGATATTTCGATTTTTAAGGTTCGATGCATTTTTAATTATTTATGATAAAATAATGTTAAAAAGTCAGTATCTCGATAATTTTTAGAAGTAGGCTGTGGCTGCAAATATTTTTGAAATTGAAAGCAGAATAAGGTTAAACGTCAATTAGTTGACAGTTAGTTTTGTTGTCTGTTGAAACCTGAAACGTTTTTTTGCAATTGTGAATGCACGAAATTTAGCTCCTTTTACCTGTTTTTTTTGTAAGTTTTATAAAAATGCCATTTTTATTCTCCAATCAAGAGTTAGCGGATGTTCATTTTGTGTATGGCTTTGTAAATGGAAACGAAGCAGAAGCAGCCAGAGAATACGCACGAAGATTTCCAAACAGAGGACATCCAAATCGCTCAGTATTTGTAAGAGTGCATCGCCAAATAATTGAAAATCGTTATGGACGACTCCCAAAGGGATCAAAACATGAATGTTCGTCAGCGCAGATTTACCCGTATGATTCTGCGTGAGTTTGATAGAGATCCGACCACAAGTGTTAGGAGAGTTTCTGGTGCCTTGGGAATTTCAGCAAGCCATGTTTACCGTGTTCTTAGAAATGAACATAGACGTCCTTACCATTTGCAACCTGTGCAAGGACTACAGCCAGGGGACGGAGAACGAAGATTCACATTTTGTCAGTGGATTCTTGATAGAACTGATAATAATAGGGAGTTTTTAAGTAACGTTTTATGGACCGATGAGTCATGCTTCACTAGACGTGGAGTGGTAAATTTTCATAATCAACATATTTGGTCGCATGAAAATCCGCATGCAGTTCGGGAAAGGAATTTTGCAGCATGAATTTAGTGTGAACGTGTGGATTGGTATCTACCGTAATCGTAATCGACTATTTGGACCCTACCTTTTGCCTGCAAGGTTAAATGCTGCGACCTTCTTGGAATTTTTAAAGGCTGAACATGCAAATATGTGGGATGATGTTATATTAGATTTAAGAAGAATGGCCTGGTTCCAGCTTGATGGTTGTCCAGCTCATTATTCGAGAATAGTTAGAAACTGGCTGGACGAAAATTATCCAGAAAGATGGATCGGCCGTGGAGGACCAGTCGCCTAGCCTCCACGATCCCCTGACCTAAATCCACTAGATTTCTTTGTGTGGGGATTTCTAAAAGAAAAAGTGTACCAGACTCCCGTAACCACAAGAGATATGCTAATAGACAGAATCAGGAATGCATGTGATGAAA